GAGCTCCTGCTCCCCCCGGGGATGTGTTCGTTTCAGATCTCGCCAGTGAAGAGAAGAAACGCCTGGAGGAGAAGCAGAGAGCCGCGCGCAAGAACAGGTCCAGGTCGGAGGAGGACTGGAGGACCAGGTGCCTGGGACCTGGGGGCGGGGCTGCCTTTTTTAAGACTCAGGAGCTGAACAGGGCCTAACCCTTTGCATCAGACCATCCACCCCAAGGTCCAAGCCCCCCTCCAGTGCAGAGTCAGGGCCCCCACCCCCAACAAGCCGCCGGGAGGCCTGCAGGCCTGACTCGGTCTTTAGAGAAAACATCCTTTGCTACCAAGCCCACCACTTTGCGAAATGCCTCTCGCCAGCTTCCTCCTCCCCCGCTCCCTCTGCTCCTATGGGAGAAGGTGGCGGCCGGCCTGTGGGTGATTGAAGTTCCTTGTGGCTCCCTGACTCGACCTGCCATCCTCTCTGTTGTTGGCTCTGCAGGCCCGACCGCAGGTGCTGCTGCTGCTCTGGTTTTGAGACCCAAAGAGCGTAACTGTGTGCTTCACACTGGGCAGCAGTTCTGTGACTTCGACCAAGTCACGGGCCCTTCATATTTATCTAGTTGGTCACCAAAGTCTGAATGATAGGTATTTTGATCGTCTACACGAGGCTTTTCCATTTTCTAATTAGGGACCAGCCTGCAGAGCTGAATAATGTATGTGATTTTATTCTGGAACACTCGGTCCAATGGGCATTTACTAAATGATGCTTCAAGGAGTTGGCCTGGCCTCAAGTGGTTTTTCTCAGGGTTTTTAATGCTTCTGTAGTGATAGGAACATTTGGGACTTAGCAAACAAATCAAACCGCACTTTTTAAAATATATATATTTTTATTGATTTCAGAGAGGAAGGGAGAGGGAGAGAGAAACATCAATGATGAGAATCACTGATCGGCTGCCTCCACGTCCCACACTGGGGATCAAGCTGACAATCCGGCATGTTCCCTGATCAGGAATAAAACCCTGACCTCCTGGTTCATAGGTTGTTACTTAACCACTGAGCCACACCAGCCGGGCTCACCTCACTTTTAATCTCTAAATATTTAATCGCTAAATATTATTAGAAGCGATTTATTTGGAGAGAATGGCAAAGGCAGCTAAGACTATGTTCCTAAGTGTTACTCTGAAAACAAAATCCTAGTTAGAAGACGTTGCACTCACCTGAACCTCTGGGCAAGTAGGCCTGCACTCCCGTGACTGAGAGGAAGCTGGGGCCCTGGGAAAGGGGCCACTGGTCTTTAAAAGGCAAGACAATGACTAGAGCAGATTAGAAGACAGGTTAGGATGCTGGAGCCTGGTATGCAGCCCCCCAGTCCATGTTAGCATGGAGAAGGTGGAGACCCAGGAGATGTGGGTGAGATACCGTCCCGTGAACTACGTGTAGTGTGATGTTTGAAAAGCCACGGTCTTTAAAATCAAACTCAGTTTTGATATCAGCTATTAGCTTGGACGAGGTATTCATCTCCTCAACATCCAGCTCTTTTGTACAATGGAGCTTTAAGGGTTTTTTTTTGGGGGGGGAGGGGACATTGACTCTGAACTGTGCAAAAACATTACTGCAGTTAAGTCGTGAAAGTTCATTTGATCCCAACTCCCTATTTCTAATTGCTTTTAAAAGAAGGACTTATAGTAGAGTCCCTTTGCCTACTTCCCCATGTAATCTCTGTCCGTCTGTCCAATACAAGCGGCTGGCTGATGGTGGGGGACAGAGCAGACTTGTGGGTGACCTTTGGCTCTCCCAGCTGCCAGCGGGATTGGGGTAAATGCTCTCATAGGATTCCACCCTGTCTCTGCTGAGTTGGCTCAAGTAGTGACAGGCAGCATGGACCCATCGATTGTCCGGTTACAATATATACGAAGAAAATAACTCCTAATTTCTAATTGCTTTTAAAAGAAGGACTTCTAGTGGAAGGTAGTGGGCCTAGAGGATGAACAATTAGACAAAAACACTGGTTCTCGCCCTTCCAGACAGGAGATCCTAATTCTGCTAAGCAACTTGGCTAAGTGCTGTGGGGAATCTGCAAGCCCTTACCTCACACCTTCCTGTGAACTGCTGCCCAGGGAGGTCCTGGGGCTGCCAGGCCCCTAAACCTCGGCCTCTCTCTCCACAGGTGGTTCCATCAAGGCCCCAACCCCCACAACGGGGCCCAGGACTGGCTCTACTCCGGCAGCTACTGGGACAGAAACTACTCGAACTTGCCTGACATTTATTAAAGTGCAGACAAGTCAGGGCGTTGGGCTAATCTACAAATCCGTCTTAAACCTGTGTTTTTAAATGTTTTTCTTTGGTTTCTACTCATCTTTAAAAAAGAAAAAAGAAAAACCCCACTCATCACTTGCATTTCACCCCCAAAAATAGGGCACAAGGTGACCCCGGTGATGGGAGCCTCCCAGAAAATGGGTCATTTTGCTGCTGAAGGTGCTGAGTGGGGCGCTGTTGTGTACAGAGGGCAGAGGAACTGCGGGCGGGTGCTTTCCGCGGCTTCTCCGGCTCCGGAAGGCGGATACCTGAATGTAACTTCAGCTTTATGAAATTATATACCTACATGTAACTTAGCTTTATAAGATTACAGAGTTATTTTGGCTACTTTATGCTGTAGGGCTTGAATGTTTTAGATGTGACTTCGAGAGGCATCGACCTCTCCTGACACTGCTGGCCGCTCAGGTGCAGAGAGAGAGCTTGGGGCAGAGGCCGGTCCACCGGCCCCCAGCCCCTCCCTCCACACAGGCCGGGCCTGGGGAGCCACAGGGCGGCTCTGCCTTGAGGATTCTAATGAACGGACTGAAAGGCCTTTCGTTTGCTTCTTGCAGTGCTGTTTACTTTCACAATCCTGTAACCAGCCGCTAGGATTAAGAAGTGTTTAACTGTCCATGTTCAAACTGAAAATATGTATGAACTCTAGCACTTCACAGACATGCCCTAGAAATAGAGTTTAATCACCGTTATGACATAATGACTCGACTCGGCGGCCGCCGGGAAGTTCAGCCGCATCCACCTGTGGACGGGCCCGTGCGCCCAGGTCTGCGGGGCCCTGTGCACCGGGGCCCCGGGGAGACGCGGCCCAGGAGCCTGGCCCTGCATTTACGCCCGGGCGAGTGGCTGCTCCGGCCTCGGCGGCTGCAGTAAATGATTCTCGTTGCTGTCCTGACCTTAACAAGTGTTACGATGAAATAATCTACCTGATGCAAAATAAAGGCTTTAGAGCGTCCCCAAAGCGTGATTTCTTTCGTTTAACTGTCGAATGTGCTCACGTTGCCAGGTCCGTGCGACCCGAAGTGACCACTAAGGTCCTTGTGCGGCTCCTGGGTTGAGCCAGGAGGTCGGGGTTCGAGTCCCCATCAGGGCTCCGGGCGCGGCTCATCCCCAGCGCGGGGCGCACAGGAGGCAGCGGGTCCGGACCCTCACCCTGGGGGTCGCTCCCCCCAGTCCCCCCCACCCCCCCGTCCAGCG